CGATTGTCGCCTCACCACACAGGCTCCATAGGAAATGAATGGAGAGCGAGCGACGTCGCTTCCCGTGTGTCGAGCCCTTTAGTCACGAGATACGACCAGTGACGTAGTACAGCCTACATCGCCATTGAAGTACTACGTAGTGACGTAGGCCTTTCTACACTGAACCTGACTTACAAACTGATGTAGGCCTTATGGGTCGTTCGTAGTGACATGCAAGGTGATGTACAGTGACTTTCAATTCAACATGACAAGCAACATAGGCCTTACTGCACCATACCTGGTGAAATGACGCAAAACATGATGCACGTGACGGGCGTAATTTTGTCATACGTAGCACTTTATAACGCATGTCATGACATAGGTATGAAATAACATCCCAGACAGCAAAATATAAGTGAATCAATCAATGAAATATGGTCAGGCATGATACTAGATCCATGTTGAAATTATACAAAAAGTGGTCGGTGACTTACTTGTTGAAACAATGTTGGRTTTTCAATCATAACTGATAAAATATCAGTGTTGATTCAACATTGATTAGATGTTGGCATTTCAATAATTAGAATTTGGCTATGAAATAGCTGCGTTTCCATTGCAAATGTGCGCAAAACTTTGTTGATATTCTGGTAATGTCGAAAAAACAGTTTCGCAATTGCGGTGTTTCCATTAAGTAAAAAATACTAATAAAATCATGCGTGAAAAAGTTTGCTCTCACGGTAGTGATTAAAAATATGGCGGCAACGGATGTATTTGCTACCACAACACGTCATCATCAGCCATCAGAGGAGACGTCGGCGTCTTATCGAGGCCTTCGAGCGACAAGCCCCTTATACTTAGGAGCGGCTACATATGCAGCATTTTTGGTAAATTGTAGTCAGTGACTTTACTACTTCTAATTCCTGTTGTCGTCTTCGTCTTTTTTGCCAGTAGAAACATCCGGTTATTGATCACATGACTCCTGTGATGCGAAAAAAAAAGTGTTTCCACTGCAGATTTGCAAATTACACCAATTTCGATACGGCTGAAAAACCACCTTATCCTAGCGCAAAATCATTTTGTCGAAATACTTGCATTTTTTCGAAATTGTTTGCGTTAAGCAAATTTATTTTCGCAATTCTAATTTGTGCATTTTTATGGTCAATGAAAATGCAGATAATGGGCCTCATGCAAGAACCGTTCGTACGCACAGATTTGTTCTTAAGTTGTGCGTACGAGTCATTTAGGAGAATTTGTGGCATTCACCAATGTTTTCGTATTCTAAGATTTTTTTCAGATACGAAYAAAATTYACGWRTRGTCCAGACCTGTYGTATATTTTACGARCAGTCAGTCTGCTGTTATCCAGATGGGTTTTCTTCATTAATAACTTTATATTTCGTTAGTTTGAAGATATTTTGAGTTGAAAATAAATCACACTCCATAATTATGTTGACAATAAGTTATTCTGCTTGAATTAGAGTTATAATTTTAAATGTAATAATTTAGACTAACAATATAAATTGTCTGTCCGGCCGGCTTATCCGCTATCGGGTGTGGGGGCAGCAGCAGAAAGACCCCGCTCTCCCCAGCGACACCTTCCAGCTCGTCCTGGGGGACTCCGAGACGTTCCCAGGCCAGAGGGGATACACAATCCCTCCAGTGAGTCCTGGGTTTTCTCCAAAGTGCCAGACTTATTTTGAAAACATTTTAAAATGCTTATTTCAGAACCGCAACTGAGACCACCTGCGATCGCGCGGCGGGTGGGGGGTGTACGGTGCGCAACGGTATGGCTTCTGAATAAATGAAAATGATCTAACACAGTTGTTTATACTTTTAGCAGCTCTTATTCATTCCACAGCTGACCTGCTAAAAATGACAGATTTTCTTTTCTGGATCTCTGACAGACGGACTTCAATCTCTGAACTCATAAAGTTCTTCTTTTTAGTTTTCACTGTCATTTTCATGAATGGACACTTCCTGATATCTGAGGCAGGAATCATAGCCTTATATGGTGTTTTTGGGGTGGTAATTATGCTAATCTCCTCTCGCGTGCACGAGCAGCTGGATACGAACAGGTGGAATTTACGCAGCTCATTTACACACTTTTCCTGAAGATAGAAGAGTTTGTTGAATCTGACGTGACATGTTCGTACGAACCCTTTGTACGAACAAAAGTAAGAGAAATTTAGGATGAGAATATGAACATGTTCTTGCATGAGGCCCATTGATACAATAACATCGTTTCAACATTGGTTACTTTGGCTAGAATTGGTTGTTTGATGGTTGATTCACCATCATCGACCTTAACCAAAAATTAACCTTTTGACCATAATTCAACATTGAATTAAAATCTTTTGCTATCTGGGATGGGCCTTACTATGTTGAATGTTGTTTTTGTTTACTTATTTTACTGTTATTTAACCAGGAAAATCCCACTGAGATAGCAGATCTCTTTTGGAAGGGTGGCCTGGCTTGAAGGCAACCCATTGTACATATCTTTGGGGTATGGGGGAAACCGGAGTACCCGGAGAAAACCCATGAAAGCACAAGGTGAACATGTAAACTCCACACAAAGACCTCAGGGCATCGAACCCAGGACTTTCTTGCTAACCACTGAGCCGTCGTGCTGCCACGTTATGAAGTATAATACTCTGTCGTATGTATGGCCACATCACGTGACTTATCAAAGTGCGTAAACATCACCCCATCTTCCCACAGCTCATTGTACCCCCCCCCCCCCCCCTGACGTTACGCTTGTTTCATTTCACGGAGATTGTTTGCATTTAATTATTATCTGCATCACTCCTAATTTTAGCTCTTAAAGTGTATCAAGTTGACACAAATTCCCACAAATTCAATGACAGTTGATCAAATCCTGCTAATAAACCTCCTGAAGGTCTCTGTTTCTCCTCCTCAGGCTGGTCAGAGGTTCACTCTGCCCACATTCAGACGGTGTGATCCTCCTGATGACGACGTTTTTGTGAGATCAACCTTTCCAGCTCAGAGTTCAGCTCTTTTGCTTCCTGTCGATCTCTTGGGTTCTCACACAACAACGAGTTTATTATTATACACTGAAAAGCAAAAGCAAAGAAGAGTGGGATTGCTGTACAGAGAATATATTTCATAGTTACACTCAGACATTTTGTTTAAAATCAGCAGCTATAGAAAAAATATGGTAATTTACCTCTTGGGAAAAGGTTTGTAAAAACTCTTTGGGAAACTTCTTGCTTCTTATGTCTCTCCAGATCTTGTTTTCACAATGCAGGTATGGCAATAAAAGAGCAGGTTAGTTTGAATTACAAATATAGAAATACAAAGTAAAAGATGGAAAAGACATCTGGTTGGCTTATTTTTTTATACTTAACTAATGGAATYCTATGTATGTACAGTAATTTAACTGTAGGTATTTGAATTTTATTTATAAAGAACTCACCTCTGTTTTTTCGCTGACAGTCACGGTGGAGATTTTCCACAAGAGCTCAAAGAAGATCAAACCCAAAGCAAACATGTCCACCTTACGGTCATATTTCCTGCTTTTCTGGTTGAAAAAAATAAATTTAATATCAAATAAAAACTGTTAAAGGCAGAGGTAAACAAAGCTACAGTGTTTGTGCTGAATTTTGCAGCTGTGTTGCTAAATATTACACAAAAGGTTGAAACATTTTTATTCATTTTTTCACTCTAACATAGATGATTTAATGTACTGGTGTGTGCTTTGGTAAATGTCTGGCTTCTCATTGCTTAAGATGTAGCATATAATCTAATTTCCCTCTGGGATCAACAAAGTATTTTTGAATTGAACCGAATTGATATATAAGAAATATAAATAAAAAATACATAATATTATATCAAATAAAGCACAAGTTGATTCCATGCAGAGTTGTGGAGCTAGTGCCAATAATTTCATGTGCAGAAGTACATGAAGGGACACATGAAGATGCTGAGTTTATGAATACAAAATGGCAACGGTTTTGTACCCTAATGGTACAAAACGTCAACCACTTTATACCAAATGGAAATCAAAGGTAATGATGATCAGCAGCATTCCATGAAGTGATGAATATTGACCAACCCATTTTAAATTAGGCTGACTTCAAAAGGTAATCAGTAATAGATTACTGTAATGGATTACTTTCTGAGTTTCATTAAAATTCCTCCATTGGATCATGAGATATTTTGCTAACAGACRGAGACAAACAAACAGTTGATCGTCGGCCTTTCATGGCAAAGATTTGTTTTTGAAAACTCCACCAAATTACTCACCTGCTCTGGAGCCATGTAGTCTTTGGTTCCTGGTCCTTGAGTTCGGTCCGTCAGGTTTTCATCTTCGTCGACGGTGACCAAACCAAAGTCTCCAATCTTCACCGTTCCATCCTTTCCAAACATTATGTTGGAAGGCTGAAAAGTAAAGAGAGCGATTAAATCAAACCTCAGACATCTCGAGTTAAATCTAACGAGTGATTTTAGTCCTAAAACAATAAACGTGCACAGCAGGTCCCACAGTGTCTGTATCAGAGTGAGTATTTCAAAATAAAAGCCCAACACCGCTCACCTTCAGGTCTCTATGGATGAGATTGTTAAAGTGGATGTATTCGACTCCCATGACAATCTGCTGAGCGATGGGCAGACTTTCTGCTCTCCTCTGGAAGCCTTCCACGTTGTTCTTGTTCTTCTCTTTTATCCATTTTCTCAGATTTTCAGGGCTGCATAATTCCATCCTTATATAGAGATACTGCTCACATGAGCCTCTTGTAGATCTACGGACGAGGAGAAAATGGCGACACGGCCGTTAGTTTAAAGAAGGAACAAAGCAACAAGTTTAAGAAGTGGTAAAACTTACTCAGAAGAGCTGCATCCGACTCTGTCATCTTCGTATTTTGAATTTTCCACCCAACAGTTGTAGTACCTGACGATGTTGTCGTGTTGGAGGTCCGACAACACCTTCACCTCTTTTCTGGCCTTCCTAAAAGTTACAATGAAATCAATAATCATTCCAGCTGCTTTTCTTCTCGATCGTTTATTGAACTTAACTTACTCTTTAAAGCGAACTATCTTTACGGCGTATTCCTTGTCCAACAATTTCTCCTTTACTTTGTAAACAGAACCAAAGCCTCCTTTTCCCAGATATTTAATGATCTCAAAGTCTGATGTAAATCTGCAACAAATAACAAAAATAAATAACAATTACTTTGTAAATTAAACAGACAAAAATGTGCTTAAGGAGAATTTGGGATATTTAAAGGAGACATTAAGACAATAAAGGAGACAAAATAATGTTTAAGAAGACAAAGTGAAATTAAAGAGACAAAGAAGGCAATAAAAAACAAAAAGGTGCACAAAGAGACAAAATAATGCTTAAGGATACAAAAAAGACAACAGAAACAAAAAGCACAAGGAGACAAAGTCATACTTACAGACAGAAAAGACAATAAGGAGACAAAACGATGCACAATAAGACAAAAATGACAAGCATGTGGATAATAGATAAATCGTATTCTTGTTTAATAAATGATATGCACATACCTCGAACTGAAAGATGCATTATTTTCATTTTGTATACTTTTTTCCCCGCCATTCTAAAATAATTAAAACAAAAACAAATCAGCGAATTAAACAAAAACAAACAGCATGTTAAAGTTGCACTGACCGATTCAGTGCAATTTTAAATACCTCAGGGT